ATTTAATTTTAATTAACTTAAACGGCTACATAGGGTGGTGGCTACCATTTATAGTGTAGTTAGGTTTTTTTTTTTTGATAGATTGAGCAAAAAAGGAAAATATTTACATATATAATTTTCCACAAAAATAATTTGATCATGTGTCTTTTCTTGTTCTTGAGAACATTTATTCAGTGACGGGGAAATTGGTTAGTATTTGGATTGAGAATATGTGAAGTCCTCTAATTACAGGACAGCTGTACTGTCTGTGACTGAGCGAGCTGCCCAGCAGCAGTATGAGCTGGGGGATTCTAAGCACAATAAGCACAACATAAAACTGTAGAGGATGTATTTTATTATATCTCTTGATTATTCACAGAATATAGTTAGTAATAATCATAAAGTGGGGAAGTCAGCAGGAGAGTAATACTCTTCTCAGTACATATTTACATTATATATCTTCACCAACAAAGCTTTCTAAGAAAATTCACTCATACTGAATATTCCAAGTTGAAAATCAAACTAAAAAAGACTTGGTAATACCATTTAAAAGAACCAGTAACTTTAGAGCTAGCAAGACCCCTAAAAATTCTGTAGTCCAGCAGGCCAATTTTTCAGATAAGGAAACTGAAGCTAAAAAAAGATAAAGCCCCATGGATAAACAACCAAGGACAGAGCCAGGACTGGAAAGGTGGGGCTCTTGACTTCTATCTAGTGTATTTCATGTATATTTTTATTTATTACCTTGCCTCTTGTATTGGTTTCTGCAACAATCAAGCTTTATATTTAGATCATCTGTCCAAATTGCAAATGGATCTTAAAATACTGACTGGTTCATTACCTTTAGCATTTGAACATTTTGACATGGTGATTTCTTTCTCTTCAGTTAAAGCTTCATTCTCATGTATTCCAAGGAATATGATCCTCTGGGGAACATAGCAATCTCCTCCTATGACAATAACTTACTGTCAGCACAGCAATGGCAGGAAGTTGCACAAAACTGCCTTTCAGTGCAGGATAGTCCTCCTCTACAACACCCCTCTTGCCCACTTTTGTTTCAGTACTTCTCAGTGATACCATCCCCATCTGTATACATAGCATGTATATTTAGATTGATACAGGTATATACATATGTACATAAATATATAGTATGTACACTTACAGATAATTATAAGAAAATTCACGTAGTCAACACAACTTTCTGTTAAATAATCTTAATTCCACCCTTTACCATGCTTAAGAGATACTCGGAGTAAACATAACATCTTCCATACAATATCTGTAAATATATGAAAGCAGTTTTGTGTTCCTTAGAAGTCTTCTATTTTTCAGGATTAATATCCATAGTTGCTTTAAATATCGCTTACATACTTAATTTCAGATCCTTCCTCATACAAGTTACCGTTTCTTAACATAAACTATTTGTTTCAAGTACCCTTCTTTAAGAATCATACCCAAACATGGACTCCCCTGTACAGAAATCAGTGGAATGAGTATAACAATAGTTGACATTTATGGAGCATCTTTCTGTATGTCAGACACTCTACTGAGTACTTTAAATGACTTGTCACATTTAATTTTCTCCCTATACTACCAATAATTCAGTGTGAGTTTACCTTAGCTATGTGGTAGCTGACACACGTTACTGAACCATTTTGAAACCCTGTGGCCAACACAAGCTTTTATTTTTTCCCTCACAATCTGTATCATGTCAGGTCTTTCCCAACTTGAAGAAAAAGCTACCATTAACATCTTGGACTAAAATGCCAGACATTATGTTTATCACAGTTTGAGTTTACCTTGTTAAACATGGCTCACTATTCCAGCATATTAACTTGAGGTCATCTGTAAATTTTGTAAAACTGTCTCCATACATGCACTCATTCAATTGTTTAAACATGAAATTACTTATTCTACAAATATTTATGGGTTGCACATCATGTGGCAAACATTCTATTACAGAGATTCCTCTAGAGCAGTTGATTATAAACAGTTCCTGACCTCAAGGATCTTATCCAAAGCCAACAATCAAAATGTCAAAAAGATGTTGATGAAACAAAATTAGTTATGAGAGAGAAAATTCGGACTCCTTTATTACATGGGGATATATTCAGAATCAATCAGTGATAAGTTAACTCACCTCCGTTTTCAAAAGCAGCAATGTCAGTCCTTGGTTTCCTATCCAATGATGCTTTTATCTCACCTTGCCTTTCAAATAGGCTAAATTTTGTTGGAACTGTCAGTCCATCCCCTAGAAATTTAAAAAAAAAAAAAATCACTCCAGACAGAAACGATTAGGTGCTTACTTAAGTTTATGACAGAATTTATGATAGTAAAAAGCTTAAAAATTAATGCAAGTATTGTTTGCATAATAATTTGATGAACAATAAATTTATAAATATATAAATTTTAAGCAAATTTTATAATTATCAGGAAAGCAGCAAACAAGTTTATTTTCCTACATGGATAATGTACCAAATGGCAATTAAAAAATTTAAGCAATCTAACAGTATTGTGTGTATACATTTATTTTATTTGATACGCTTTTCATATAATAAACTTTGTAATATTTCTTTTGTTTTTATCTACTCGCCATGAACAAATTGAGTAAAAAGTATCAAGGTATACTATTGATTAAAAAAGCTTATTATACTGAAAATTAATTCTCACCACTTTCCTTATACATCCCTAGATAACTTTCTCCTGAAATAAATTATTAAAAGTAGAATAAAAGAGAGATGACAATGTAATGCAACATGTGATTCTGAACTGGATTCTAAACCAAGGAAAAATCTTCATTTTGACATAAAGGACATAAAAGTTTTTTTTTAAAAAGTCTGCAAATAATGTTTCAGAAGTGTTTTCCTGGCTGTGATACTTATATTTACATGTGTGAGAGTTACATAGGGGCATCATGCCTGCAACTTACTCTCAGATGATTCAGAAGAAAATAACAACAATGTGTATATTTAGAGAGAGAGAGAAAAATCAAATGTGTAAAATGCTAAATAACATTTGGGGAAATCTGGGTAAAGAGTTTCATGAATTAACTGATATTATTTAAAAATAAAAAGCTTTTTAAAACCATAATATAAAATGTGCCTTTGCATATTTACATATGTGTCTTTATAATCCACCATTTTTAATATTCACTGCTAACTTGTTTTATTGTTTGTTTGTTTGTGGAGGTTGGGTAATCAGGTTTACTTATTTACTTATTTCAAGAGCAGTATTGGGGATTGAACCCAGGATCTTGTGAATGCTAAGCGTACACTCTACCACTGAGCTACACCCTCTCCCCTTGCTTTGTTTTGTTTTGATCTGTGTAATTCAGGCAATCTGTCCTTCACTGGATGGCTTCCACCTATCAGCTAGGTCTTGCTGATCCTACTACCATCTGATGGTATGTTGCTGCCACCTACCGCCACGTGTTTAGTTTGCCACATATATGTACTTGCAAGACAGGCAGTCTACTCTTTATTATTCATTTTGATCCTGGGAGACTTTCTCAACTATCTTCTTCTAAGGGGTGGAGGGAAGCATTCAAATCTCTCCAACTGCTGCAGAGCTTACTTTTCAGCTCATCCTGGGGGTAAGAAAACTACTTAGACTCATAGTATCCACGGATTTTCTCTGAGTTCCTCATTTTATATCCAAAAAATGTTCTTATCTTGCCTTCAAAGGCAAAATGTTCACCAACAGAAAAATCAGATTCACCAAAACATAAGATTTATGAGAGACACAGCCTTGGAATTACCCACCTGCATTCCCCTTAAATTGACTGGTCTACAGAAGGCACTCATTCTGGGAACAAATGTACCCTGTTCTACTGCTAACATTCTTCTGTGATCTCCCTTTTGTCCTTCTAGGGCTAAGTTGTTTTTCTGCTTATAAAGAAAAATCTACACCTGTTTCACAGGCAGATTTATTTTCATAGCTAAAACAGTGAAACCAAATTATTTACAGAATTACTGCATGAGGTATGTAGTGCCACCATGTGTTTATGAAGTCTGTTCATTCTGTGGTTCCTCTAAGAAAATATAATTACATTAATAGCAGCTTTTCATATTAAATTTAGGTGATCCCATAACATGACTTCCTTCTCACTCTCAAATCTGATGTATTATCTATCATTTGACTTTAGTGCACACCTTACTAAATAATGCACAGCCTATCACAGCAAGTGTCTCTTATTCATAACCTTGAAATGCTTCCTTTCCATTCCTTACCTTCTTGTAATTCACTTCCATTTTCCAAAGGCTTTTCTAACTCTTTTTCCACTGATGAGGCTATGCTTTTAGATGATGAAATATCTGGAGGAGTATGAATTCTGTAGTATTCGCCTAATCGCCCATAAGAAAAGTAATGGTTAGCATATTTTTCACATCAAATATTAGAAAATCCACAAATGTTTGATTTCTTACCAGATTTATGACACATCTCCTTTATTGCTCTTTTTTCTTCAATTTCTTCAGGAGTTTTTGTCCATAAACTAGAAGCATCTATAGGATATATTTTGTTTAAATTAAATTGTCCCAAAGCCAAATAATCTGAAAATTTATAAACCAGAATGAAACATCCCAAACACTGTTCTCATGGATAGATTAGTGGGTTTTTTTTTTTTTTAGTAAATCAATAATTTGCATCCTGGCAAATGTTTCTAATTGCTATATTTCACATATTAGAAAGAATCATTCAAGAGAAAAGAAATGACTAATTAGACATATGTGCTTTCAGATGAGAAGCTGGAGGCATAGATTCATATGTTGAGACCATGTTTGTTTGTTCGGAGGAGAATGTAGGTATGGGAGACATGCAGTCATAACTGAGAAGGACACATCTCCTTCCTCCTCTTCTTCCTCAAAGTTGGTTTTTAAAACTAAGGGATGGTGAATGGGTCGTGATATATTCTCCTGAGGTTTCAGAGGCTCCTGACTCTGGGTTGTGGGTGGAATTCCTTCCTGAGTTTCTTTCTGTAGTGTGATATGTACAGAGAAGATGTAACATTTCAGTATTTTCAATGCGCCCACATTCTAGTCTCCATATAAGGACACATTCCAGGGCAGAGACAGACTGAGAGCTTATTTTTCTGCATGTTTGTCTTGTTTGTACATACTTATTGGCACTGCAGTGCTATTATGATATGGGAGGAATAAGATGGACTACGATGCTGAAGACCTGAGTTCTAACCTTCTTTATACTTTTGCAAGGATTACTTGGGATAATGCAGATGATAGTGCTTTATAAACTACTCTATTGATCTCTATGACTTCAAGGATTAAATGTGAGGCAGATAGATGGAATAGATAGATTGACACTCATGTATATCAATGTTAAGTTATGTATAAATAAAAGTTATATAAATCAATGCTATCAGTGTTAAGTTATATACAAATAAAACAGGTTATCAATACCCCTAAAGCAGCTATACATATTTAAACAGGAGATCTGTCTCCTAACTGTCACACCACAAAAACTTTGCAATCCAAATGATCATAAGCGTATGTGCAGACATAGAACAAATTAGAACATAATGAATTTAATATACTCGATAAAATTAAAGCTATTTTCTCATCAAAATCTGCCTTATATATTACATTATAAGCTTCTAGTAATTAAACAAATATATCAAAAATATCACAAGGTTTTTGAAAATGCATTGTGAATCTGAAAAAAAAGGTTTACTAACCATTTTGTTCATCTCCTTCCTCTTCTTCCTCAAAGTTAGTTTTTAAAACTAAGGGATGGTGAATGGGTCGTGATATATTCTCCTGAGGTTTCAGAGGCTCCTGACTCTGGGCTGAGGGTGGAATTCCTTCCTGAGTTTCTTTCTGTAGTGTGATATCTAGAGAAGATGTAACATTTCAATCTTTTCAAAATGTATGTTATGTACATGTTCAGTGATCAACCATTGTTCACCTGATCAACTGCATGTTTTATTAAAGGATGTCTCTTTTATCTGTGGAACGGCTATCAAATTAACTTAAAATATCAACATTTTTCTGGTAAGGTGTAGAAAATATGCTAATTCATAGACTTTAGATAATAATTACAACCATGACTTGGTATATATCACACCTTTGGTATAAATACAAAGTGATCACAAGCTTCACTGCATCCTTACATTAGATCCATGGATAAGAATAACTTAACTAATCACATTATGACGACGGAACAAAGGCAAACTCATATAAGGCATAGCTTATAATGGCAGAGTATATATGTCCAAAAGAGGAAAAAATCCAGTGGTTCTTATTTTCTGTGGCTGGGAGTTGATAATTTGGAAGTGAGAATAATGATACTTTAAGACTCCTCTACTTGGCTACATAGGTCAGACTGAACAGAGCTCTAGGTCATATTTAAATGTTCTGTAACCTTCGAAACTAACGAGCAAATAATAGAAAAGGCTGGTGAACACATGTATCATTTATTGTTACTTATTCAATTCCCTTTGTTTTTCAAACCAATAGTTATTAAATCTGGCTAATTATCAGAATCAACTAAAGAATTATTCAAATCATCTTTAGGGTCCCTGCTTTCCAAACTTTTTATTTAGCAGGTCTAGATTAAAGCCTGGAAATACTATTTTTTGAATGTCTCAAGACAATTACAAAATTAGGCAATTTTGGAAACCAAAGCCCCAAATCAGTGATCATTTATCTGGGCTTCTGTGACGTGGGAATACTTTCAGGTCTTAATTCGATGCTAACTCTGGTTAGTGTCAAAATTAAATTGAATTGTAGGACACCCAGCTGATGTCAAGGGAATTGTTTGGTGGAGGAAAAACCCACTCATCTGGTATCAGAAGTGTTGTGAGTATGGCGGTAGTGTGAGAGTAAAGGAGAAACACACAGGAGTATTCTTTTAATTCCTAGAGAAACTGACACAAACAGAAATAAAGGGCAGAATGAAATTAGTGCTAGTGAATTCAAAACAGATAAGTGGACTTGTTCCCTGTAGACAGAGTAAAGGAGGTTTGAGGAAGCAGGGTATGAGCAGCCTATGAACCTTGCTTACCCCATCTCATGATGGAGGTAGAATGGCTAGGGGAGGGATTTGATCCCAGTGCATGGATCTGGTTTTGACCCTGAGAGAGGGGAAAGTCTCCTCCAAGAGGCAGGATCAGCTTTGACGCCTGTTGAAGAAATTGAGACTTCCAGAAAAGCCAGAATGTACCTTTGACCCCCTACATTCTGTGCCTAATAAGTGAGAATAATAAAATGCATCCCTACAGAGCTTAGTCCAGGGCATGTCTTAGAGCGAGGGGTCCAATAACTGTTTCACAGATTCTACCTCTCCTTTCCCAGAGATTCAGTCTTTGTTTTCCTCTAGTCCTGAAAGAGCTAGTTTGAAAGATAGCAATTTTACCCATAGGCCATTAGGAAACAAACTTACACTAGAGAGAGAATTTAGTACAATCTTTCTCATGAGATAAAATCACACTATATGTAAAACAATGGGACCAAGTTAACCACTTAGTAGGTGGAATAACATTTCTCCCAGGAGGTTACCTTCAATAGTCAGCTCTCCATCCCGTCTATCTATCTATATGTCCGGTTTTACTGAGCATCTGTGCTCCAAACAGTGTGCAAAGCATTAGTAAGGAAACTAATTATGATCCCCATCCTCATGATATTTACAGTCTAGTGAGGGAGAGAAACATGGATCAAGGCATTACATGCATGATAAATGCTATGAGGTCAGAGTTTTCAAGAAGAATATAACAAAGGGACATAAATTTTAATCATTCATATGCCAAGGATTATATGAAGCCAGATTTTCAAATCCCAAGGGCTGATATCATGTAAACCCATCACGAGAAATATGGTAGCCAGAGGAGGAGAGTGGAGTAGCTGTAGCGTCAGGGAAACCTGACATTCCCTACTTCTTAGCAAGGTTCTTGCCGTTTACTGTTACAGGGCTTGGTATCTTCTGTATCCCCTTCCCAGAACCTAGTTTAAGGTTCACCACATAGTAGAACCTCAGTATCTTTCCTTTGGATTGAAGTCTGCCACTTATTTTGCAACAATGGGATTTTCTCCACAACTGAAGTCTTAGGAAGAACCACATATGTAACTGCTCTTCTAGAAGAAGAAGTGTGCAGACCAGAGCATGTTCTAGCTCTCCCCACCTGTGAGATAGGCTTCTGCACATTCACAGGGAGCAATGGTGAGGCCAAGACCTCTGAGCTTGGCTCCACTTGAGTGATGATTTGCTGAGAGAGTTTCCCTATACCTACTGAGTGTCAGTAGTCATCTCACTTTTAGATGAATAAAATCCACTTTAGAAACACAGGCAGAGAAAATTGAACTTGCTGTCTGTTTTCTTCACTTTGTTGTTAGCTACTTGATGGCTCATTCTAAGCTTCATCTCATAATTCTTGATAGAATCACCCAAATCATCCACTGGCTACTAAACTGCATTACTCACCTTGTCATACTTTATTTAATGTGTCATTCTATGCTGCTACTCCAAAACCAGATTATAATATGGTATGTCCATGTTCTTCAACATGTATACTCACTGTTACTTGGTGGCAAAAATAGTCCATTGATATTTCGAGGTTTGCTGTGATAAAAGATACAACTGATCTTCACACAACCAAGAGGTTGAGTTTCCCAGAAGCAAGAAATGCTGCAGTTTTGCTAGACAAAGGAGGTGGGGGAAATGTAATGATCAGAAGCCATATTCACAATAAACACGATGTGCTACAACACAACACAATGGGACGAAAACTACTGCGATTGCTGACTCAGGATCACATGTGTTTCCAGGCTTTCAGTGTTTCTAAACTCTGATGCAATGGATATTCCTAAAACATCCTCTTCCATTTTTCTAAGAATTTAAGTTGAGCAAAGTGAAAAATGCCGAAAATTAAGTAATGGAAGAAAGAATTATTTCTTCTCTATTGTGTTGGAAGAGTATATAGTTCAGTATTATGGGAGATGCTTTTAACAAATATGATGATGCTGAGTAATTCTACCTGCATTTCCATGTGTCTAAATCTGCAAAGTGGATCTAAGCATTTTCCCTCTCTCCATAATGAGCACACAGTGTCACTGCCAAGGGCTTCTTCACAGTGTCGGAATCGGCACTGGGAACCCTAAAAGAAAAAGTAAACAGTGTGGAAAACTCAATGTATGACCGTTAGTGTTTAACAACAGATTGCTAATTCATATAAGGAAATCAAATTTGAATTAAAATAGCATACTACAAGCACAAGGCTTTAAGTGTAAATGTTAGCAAATTAGTCTAATTTTAGTGAGGGACTGACAAGATAATCTAGTGATTAAACAGTACAACATACCACAAGTCACTGATAAAATGCTCCTTTTTGTTATCAGTTAATCTACTAAAGATAAATTTATGAGATCAGTGACACCCTTGATCACAATCCAATGACAAAAGGATCTAATTTCGTTCTGAGGAAAGCCAGAATTTTTTTTTAAGAATCATTACCTATATTTGAATTGTGGAGATGATCTCTATTAATCATACCTTTTATTAGATCA